CGCCGAAACCCGATATACTGTCACTGAACTGGAATGTCTTGCAGTTCATGATTCAATCCAATATTTCCGAATCTATTTAGAAGGTGTGAACTTCAAACTCTACACCGACCACAAGGCCCTGAAATGGTTGATAAACTTTCAGTCAACCAAAAAGCGACTGTACCGTTGGTCGGAACAGTTATCCCTTTATACGTTTGAAGTTATCCACAAACCTGGCACTCAAATGGCTCACGTGGACGCACTATCAAGAGCTCCAGTCAATCTATTTATACGTGAAGCCATTATCCATCAACACCAACGAAGCGACACCGAAAAGAAAACATCATATGAGGCACCAGTTAGAGTCATAACATCGACTGGTCCATCGACATCAATAGATATAGTGAATGACAGACCGGTCTATACATCGACAAACGTTGATTCTTTACAAACTATCAACAAATATGGCCGCAAGCTATCTGTCATTCCTCCAAGTCTGGTGTATCCTCTACTCACTGAAGCACACGATAATAGTGGTCATCCAGGCATCAGAGTTACAACTCTGCAAATCAAACACAAATACTATTGGCCTGAGATGACACTCGACATCAAAAAGTTTGTCAAGTCTTGTCCGGTCTGTCAACTCGTAAAGACAGCCAATCACTCAACATATGGACAACTCCAACCTCTCCCGACACCTGACCTGCCACTCAATGTCATTGCAATGGATACTATTGTGATGGGATCAGAAGCATTAAACACTAAATGCAAATACATACAGGTTGTCATTGATCACCACTCAAGATATATATGGACAAAAGCTACTCCTACTAACTCAACACCTGCCATCATATCTGTCCTGACCGATTTAATGAAAGGGACCGGTCAAACACCACAAGTCATACTTACTGATAACTATAAAACTTTTAAATCAAAAGACTTTCAACGGTTCCTTACTTTACATAACATTCGGCACATATATACTTCTACATATCATCCGCAAACAAACGGCACCAATGAAAGAGTCAACGGAACAGTTAAGCGTGGACTCAGTCTAGCACTGGTAGCTAATCCCAAACGAAAATGGACGACTGTTCTAAAGGATGTCACCAACAAATACAACAATACTGTCCATACAATCACCGGTTTCTCTCCATCATATCTCATGTTTGGCACCGACAAACTCGAAACTTCAGGCAACTTATCCGATTCAAGACAACTGGCCAAACAACGCACCGACACATCCAAAGCACGAGCTAAGGCCGCTTATGATCAACACCATCAGCCAATTGATCTAAAGACCGGTCAACTCGTGAAACGACGCATACCATCCAATCGTCCCGATCTCAAAAAACTGTCAGCAAAATATGAGGGACCGTATGTCGTAACATCTATACCCGGACCTGTCAACGCTATCATCAAACATTATGACGACTCAACCGACCCCTTCCTGGTCCACGTCGGACAACTCGAACCGTATTACCTCCGCGACCAGTCTTTAAGCGCCGGGGAGTGTTGAGGATTAAAATATGACTATATTTTTACCATTAATTTTATCATTTTATTTGCTTTGTATTGAACTACTATATCTATTTTTAGTACATTTATACTCTATTTTTAGTCACTTACAGTTCCTTATCTACATATTCCTGGAAATACCAGTCATTGTTACCATTCATTGGCGCCACAATGACCGGTCAAATATCAATTATCATATCAAACAGTTTAATATTCAAACTATCCAATCAATGCCTTTCCTTTCAAAACTACTACCTGTTTGACTGTACAGTATAAATACAGTACCAACAGTCAAACAGGCAGTTAGTGTCTTAATACCAGTCATACCATACATCCCTCTCAGTCCATACTTTTACACTTACTTTTATTACATACTGTACAACACGTGTACTATCTTATCCACCATTATTTTAACCATTGTTTTAATTGTTAACCTTTTATAATAAAGTGACTATTATTGATATCTTGTGTCCAATCATTCCTCCATCAGTGACCGGTCCACAAAGTGACCACCAATTCATTACAGGCACCGACCGTCAAGTTCACTGATTCACAAGATATACCGCTCCGCTGACCATAGATTCGGTTTGTCATACATTGAAGGCTTGGATCAACCCATTGGCTACCACTCGTGTACCACAACTGCAAGATCGGCTCTTATATCACCTGTTGGTCTAATAACGACTTAACTGGTGATCTTATAGTAGATATCTGTCTCATAACGACTCATATCTACTAGTGTTTAGTATCGATTAGACGGGAAGTACAGGTCTCATACCGACCCACGCTAAGTACCGACCGGTCTATTTAGGCATTTATTGTCTGAGTAGACATTCCTCTGGAACTAAACAATACTACACACAACAATTTTGTTTTGTTTTTTCTTATATAATTTTCGTTCATTTATTAATTGATAGAAATCGTTGATTGTATTTTGAAATAATCCATTTTCTTTATATATAGATATATATTATAATATTATTAGTAGTATTGTTTGATATTTAATTTCAAAAAGGTAAAAAATCAATTGATTGTCTTGGAAACTAAAAAAAAAAAATAATAATAATACAAAAATATCGTTTTTTTAAGTGTAGTAATTAAGGCAAATGTTTATCATTATTAACATTAATTAAGATAATGTTTTTTTCCTCAAAATATAGTATTATTTTTTTTATATAATTATCTTTTAACTCTTTTCAAAAAAAACATTTCCAAAAGTTTTACAACTAATATATATAATATAATTTTTGGGTTAAATTAAATAATAAAAATAAAATAATTTTTTGAAACTTAATAGATTGAAAGTTATCGTCATTTGTTATAATAATAATAATAATATTGAATTGCAATAAAATTGTTGATAAAAGTATTAAATTATTTGTAAAAACAGATAATGTATTAATTGGTGCACAACTGTCTGTGATTTTTATTGTTTTGTTTTGTTGAAGAAAATTATGCTAACATTTCTCTCTCTCTCTCTCTCTCTCTTTGGAAATAAAATCACAGTATTTCTGGTCTGATGAAGACATTGATTGCAAATATATATATAATACAGTGATATATTGTATAGACTACATAGTATAGTATACAACTTGTGAGTGTATACTTCAAAATCATTACCTAAAAATATGCCGATTTTTTTTTAGTTGGTTGAAAACTAACTTTCCTATAGAAACACATAAACAACGATTACAAAAAAAAAGAGTTGAAAGCGAGAGAGAGAGAGAGAGAGAGAGATAAAAGAAAAAAACAATTACTATATTAATGTTAGCTAATAGGGTATAGGTATGGTAGGGGTAGGGTATAGTCCCACTCACGACACAAATGAAAAATTGTTGATTTGTCATTTCAAATGGTGAAAATAAGTTTGACGTGTAAAATAAATGGTTATTTTTTTGAAATCATCATATTATTAGTACCTTAAAGTTGAAAAAAAACTATTAGAGAGAGAGAGAGAGAGAGCAAATGTACTATACTTTTCCCTCTATATATATAAATATCTCTCTCTCTCTCTCTCTCTCTCTCTCTCTCTCTCTCTCTCTTGAAACTGGTTTAACACACAAAAATTTTTTTAAGTTAATGTTTGAACCAACAAAACAAAATAAAACAAAAAAAATTAGTCATTTAGCCGCTGAATATATATATATATATATATATATATATATATATATATATATATATATATATATACTTATACTCTGTTCAATGACATTATCAGCCGATTCTATGGATAGTCTGTATGTATGGACGGTATGCTCGGTATGTGTCCCCGATATATATATATATATATATATATATATATATATATATATATATATATATATATACTGTATATAACTTATATACTGGATTTTTTCATAAATATTTATATATATACTGTAAATAATTTTGTGGCCAAACATAAAATTTTTGTCGGTCGATACAATCTATCAATTGAATTAAATCCAATAACATAACAACAAGAAAAAAACACATTTAAACAACAATAATATTAAATATAATTGTTAGGCAACACACACACTATTCAATTCAATATTCAATTAGCACTAATTATCAAAACAATAATTCAATATTGTTATGAATTGTTTTGTTTTTCTTAATATATAAAGTAACCATTAATTGTTTTTTGTTGTTATTATTATTATATATAAGTAATATATCAAAGATTTTGTTGTTATATTTTATATATATATAGGTGTTGTAGTTGTGTGTGTGTTTGAAAATTATGTAATTATTATTTGTTATTTTTTTCTGTCAAATTGTGTTAAATATGTAAATATAATACTATAGAAAGGTTTTTTTTGTATGAATTGAAAATAATAATAATATAATAGCAATTGTCGTAATGATTAAAAGTTTTTAAATGCCATCAAAATAATGAAATGATTGATAAAAAGAGTTGTTTTTTTTTGTTGTTGAGCAAAATTGAGAAAAACTGACATCACTTATATATATATATAATATATATATATTTATAATTATAAAGTTAATATAATATATAATATAATAATAGCCAATTAAAAAAAAAATGAAGTCATGTATTATAAACTTATTATAATATATACATATACTTATAGATATTGTATATGCAATGATATTGATGCCAAATATCAAAGAGCATTATTACATATTATTTATATATATTAAAAATAAAATACTGAATATTGAGTATATATATATAATAATAATAATAATAATATATGGCATTATGTGTATATATATATAACACAAACAACATTAATGCCATTAGTAATTGATTTTTTTTATACATTAATTAGATGCTGAATGTGTTTTATTTTTCAGTCATTAATTGTTTTGTGTTTTATAATGTCATAGATTTGTCTTACAGTTTAATAATAAGGCCTTTTTTCATCTTCATATCCCAAATGATTGTTTGGTGTGGTTGTTGTTGTGGTGGTTAATGTGATGGCCCTCTATGTGTCTCAATGGTTGTGTTGGTTGGTTGGTTGGTTGGTTGGTTGGTTGGTTGGTTGGTATATGCAACTGATGGTTGTATTCAATTAATTAGTGTATATATATATATATATAAGTGTGTGTGGCTTTCAAAATGGGTTGACTAGAGTTTTTTGAAAACAATACATCTCAGAGATTTAGTTGGTATTGTTGTTGTTGCTGATGATGTTGTTGTTGTTGTTGCTGTCGTTGCTATTCGAGCAGTTGCGAGAAGTCTGGATTGGGATTAGATGTCTGGAACTGATGCTGCGATGGTGTAGTCGTATTGTTGCCGGACGAATCCGTGTGCTGTTGTTGCTTGTGATGATGGGAGGTCAGGTGCTCGTTGCTGGCACTGCCGACGCCGACACCGCTGAACAACGATAGTCGAGACAGTGGCGATGCCTGAACAGCAGCGAAGCTTCCGTATGGATTGGTTAGGCCTGTGAAGGCGTCGTACGGGTTCGTTGAACCGCGACTCTTGTGCGCAGACGGACCGGTCAGGTTGGATGAGGCACCCGCTGCCGCCAACCATGTCTGATGGGCTGCCAATGGCGTCGGCATTGAGGTTGGCGTCGAGTATAAGACACGCGCCGCAGTGGCCGCCGAACATGAACTGAATGGCATGTTATCTGGTGTTATGGGACTCGAACCGGGACTTCGGTGCTGCTGTTGTAGCTGTGATTGTTGATGAAGGGCTGAGTTCTGTAGGGATACCAATGCGCTCAATGGATCCCTGGATGAGCTCGTCTGGTGAGCGTATTTTAACTGCAAATTCTGTGGCGACAACGCCTCATCGGGTGTCGACGCGTGTGTCTGATGGCCGACCAGCTGCTGACTGGATCGATGTCCGCTATGATCCAATGGCGGTACCGAATCTTCATCAGTCGACGACCTGTTTACTTGGGACTGTTCGCGAGGCGATTGATCCGTATTTGTCAACGAATATGCACTTGGATTCTGCGAATGCACTTGTAGTAGCCTGGAGTGGCCTACTTGGCGTCGTTGGCCATAACGTTTGGCCGGCAATGTTCCCGCGTGTCTCTGCATATGAGTCTTTAGATTGCCTAATATATTGATAGGGTATATAAATAAATGGTTAATCTCTCTCATTGAATGTCTGGGGGCGAGGGGACGGGTAGTCTATAATAATAATACCTTTTTGCGAGAATGTTTTGCCGCATAGACTGCATGGAAATCGGTCGTCCTTGTTATGGGTGCGTATATGTGTCTGCATATTACCTTTTTGTGAAAAACTTTTGCCGCAAACACCGCAAGCAAACGGTTTTTCTTTTGTATGAACTGACCGGACGTGTGTCTTCAGATTGCCCTTTTGAGTGAATCCTTTACCGCACGAATCGCACCGGTAGTCCTTTTCGCCGGTATGTATCTTCATATGTGTGTCCACATTGCCTTTTTGTGTAAAACTTTTGCCGCATATCTATATATACGGTATATATAGAGATTAGTTTGAATTTTTTTTATTTGTAACTAATTTTAATAATTATTTCAGTAGTGATCAAATGATTTATAAGTTTTCAATTGAGAAATTATTATTTATTTTTGTTTGTTTGTGATTATTTCATTATTAATAGTAATTTTTTTTAGTTTTTTATTTAAATTTTATTTTTGGTTGGTTGGTTGGTTGGTATTTTACTATGCATTCAATAATTCAAATATATATATATATATTTATGTATATTATAACTGAAACGATTAATTGAAAAATAAAAAGGAGTGTCCGTTCAATACGGAAAATATGTGCACAAAAAAAGTTTTAATTAAAAAATAAATACAAACATAAAAAGCATTAGCAAAAAAAACTTTTATAGTAATAAATAAAATTAATTTATGAGACTTTATATTTTTTATCTCTCTCTCTCTCTCTCTCTCTCTCTCTCTCTCTATCTATCTATCTCTCTCTCTCTCTCTCACTAATTCTAGTTGTAAGGCTTTTTATTATTATTATCATATGAAAAGCTAAGCTGATTGGGACTCATATTATATATATATATACAAAAAAGTATACATACAATAAAATACAGTCGAAAAAAAAGTATATACACAGAGTGTTAGTTATATTTATTTTTTTTTGTTTTAGTTTTATTTTGCTTAACAGCAAAATACAAAAAACTAAAAAAAAAATAAAGTAAAACAAAAAAAAAAAAAAAACGTTTGCTCCACATGAGAGAAGCAATTAATGCAATCTCTGGATATCAGCCCTAATAGTTTTGAAGATAAAAAAGGTGACCAAACTCTTATAGGAATGCTCTGGTCGTCTGAGATAACTGAGCCAAACCAGTGAGAGAGAGAGAGAGAGAGAGAGAGAGAGAGAGAGAGAGAGAGAGAGAGAGAGAGAGAGAGCTCAGACACTACCTCCTTATTTATAATACAGATTTATATATATATATATATATACAGTATATATATATGAGTTCAATTTAAGTATTCAATGTAATGAAATGATTTTTTTTAAATAAATGCTAATAATTATTGTCGACTGACTGATAAAAACAGTTAAACAGGATTTTTTTTCCCTAAGACGATAAAATAAATGGCAACAAAAAATAAATTTTTATATAATACTGTCTGAAAAAGAGATTTTCTATAACCAGTGAGAGAGAGAGAGAGAGAGAGAGAGAGAGAAAGACTGTGACTTAAACAACAAAATAAAGGTACACTTTATTGGATTTGTATGTATATTATATAACTAACAAACTATAAATAAAATAGTAATAAACAAAACAAATAACAAAAATGTCATGTCTTTGATTATATGGTGTTTAGTATTTAAAAAAACAAAAATAGGAAATATGCATAACTTAAAATATGCATATATATATTGTATATACTAGCGATAAACTAATATACAGTATACACAGAGTATATGGATATATATAATATATAAATTTATATCATATATTGTATATAAAAGTTTATATATGTAGAAAATAAAACTATATTGAGATCATAATACAGACATACATGACAGGCATACGGTTTGTCGCCGGTGTGAATCATCATATGTGTCTTGAGATTTCCTATTAAAATAAAATTTAAAAATTAAAAATAATGGCAATTATTATCATTATCATCATATTATATATATATAATAATAATTTCTATAATAATATAATTATATATATATACTGTATGTGACTAACCTTTTTGTGTAAACAATTTATGACAGACTGGGCACAGAAATTGCTTATTATTATTGTTAGCATTGTTACGATTGCGAGACATTGTCGACGAAGCGGATGTGGCCGACGCTCGTCTCTGGGCCGCCTGATGATGGTGATGATGGTGATGGTGGGCGGCCAGTCCAGACATGGCTGCCGAATGCAGATGAGCCGGATGCGGGTGCAGATGACTGCTTGGCACTGCCCCAAAGTGAGGCACCTTATGTTCACCTAATGACTCGTTCATTCTGGTTGTTGAGCACGTGTTGCTGGTGATGGTATCACTGGTCGATTTGCCACCGAAACCACCGCCGCCTGAGCCGGGATATTGTTGGCAAATATCGCACGGATAAGACTTATCTTTATTGTCCGGATGCGGACACTTGTGATGATTGTTATTATTATTATTATTATTGTTATTATTATTGTTAAGCAATTGTGAATGTGATATAATTAATTCACTGGGTGATCCAGATGACGGCCCGGGTAATGGTCCGGGAGAGTTAGCACTGGTATTATTATTATTATTAAGATTATTAAGATTATGATTTGGTTGTTGGCTTAATGTCGATATCTTTTCTAAATAACTTGAAGCGGCCGCCAATTGTGAGATACCCGAAGTGGCAAATTGTAGCGGATTTTTTTTGAGAAACAAATCGGTTAGACTGGCCTGATAACCGGGCCATGGAGATTTCTGCGATGGACCAGCTAGTGATGGACTAACCCATGGAAAAGCACCGTTTTGCATGTTAATACATCCAACAGTCTATATGATGGATATACCGCCGCCCCGCGCGGACGCCGTCACCATCAACCGGTACCCCACGTCCGACCCGATATATATATATATATATATATACACACACACTAACAACAACAAAAAACACACCGGGGTGGTTGGGTGGGTGTGTGATGAGAGGGGTGATGATTAGGTCCAAAGAGGATGGATGGATGGGGGAGTAGTAGTAGTGGTGGGTCAGCACACACCGAGATTGCACGTACGTACACACGTGTGCACACAATTTTTAATTGTTATTATTATTACAGTAATTATATATTTATTTATATATATATATATATCACAATTTGTTATTTTTTATATATAATTATTTTGTTTGTTTGTTTGTAACACACAAAACAACACAAATTATATTTATTATTATTGTTTATTATGACGATTATTATTACTAATTAAATTATATAATAATAATTAGTAGAGTAGTAATAATTATTATTTATTTTTTTTGTTTAACAAGTTTTTTCAAAACTTGGTTATCGTTTATTTGTGTATTTATTTATTTTTTTGTTGATAAGAAGTTCAACGCTTTTTTCACCGAATAGATAGACGACTATAATATTTGTTTACAATTAAGTATAAGAGAGAGAGAGAAAAAAAACTTAATTTTTTTAAAAATTTTTATTTGATTTTTGATAACTAATTATTTATTTATCACTTTTTATTTTAGTTGCTCCTAAACAGCCATTCATGTATCGGAGCACTTGTAATAATAATAATTAAATTATTATTATTAGTAGTATAAGTATAAGTTTTTATTCACTATATTATTATCATTTTTGTTTGTTTAATGTGGAGTCAATTGTTTTGTCGGTTGAATCCATCGTTTGTTTGATTATTATTATTATTTTTGGTAAGTATTTTTGATAAATTGAAAAGCATTTGATGCTATATTTGATTTCATCACTGATGATGATGATGACGATGGTAGTGGTAATGCTGAAGATCGCATATGGATACGACAATTATTATTATTATTATAGAGTTGTACTCTCCCGATGGCACCGATGGACTGGGTCCGAGTGCACGGCACCGGCAGTTGCCCTCACACTTACATACACACACTAACTAACTAGAAAGGGTAGTCCCCAGCAATTAAAAAAAACTAGTGTACTTTAAAGTCACACACTTGAATATTGTTATTGTTGTTGGTGGTGGTGGTGGTGACACTTTTTTGTTGTTGTAGATAAATGGGTGGTTAGGTATTGTACTGTAAAGTATATATTTATATATATATATCTAACGGTTTATTGACGACTTTTTAGTTTTTAGTTTTCGCGTTTTATCTTTTACTTGTTTAGCACAGTCATACTACTATGTATTAGTAGTAGTAGTAGTTGTAGTAGTAGTAGTATAGCACACAATATATCTATTTTTGAGGAAACAAAAAAAAATAATATTATTATTATTATTAATAAAACACATTGTCATTAAATATCAATAAACATAGTGTGTATATGTATAACATAGTGTATTATATGTGTGTGTATAGAATATATTGAATTATTCTTTAAAAAAATTGTTTTTTTTAAAAAAAAAAGATATATAACAGTTATGAGAAATAAAAATTTAATAATAAAAAATAACTTCACACTAAAAAATTTATTGTAATAATAATAATAATAATAATAACAATGTTGCCATTTAATCAATTTTTTTAAAAATTTTTGTGGACAATCTTTACACTATATAAATAAAGTAATGCTCGGAAAAAATTATTAAATTAAATAAATATATGTTTTTAAGTTTATCTCGTAATAAATGATGAAAAATATATATATATTTATATTTATATATATATATATATATATAAAAGTATTTATGTTAGGCGTGTGAACTGTGGACAGCATCGCAAATGATGCCATCCCTATGGTGATAGTGATGCGATCGTTGAACTTAGATGTCAACCCTTGGATGTCTATACATACATACATACATACATTCAGACACACACACACACACACACACACACACACACACACACACACACACACACACACACACACACACACCAAATAACATAACATATATGAAAGGCAATCAATATAACATACAACACATGAGACAAATCTTAAAGACGTCTGAAAATACTGTTGAGGACAATCATCTCTCTCTCTCTCTCTCTCTCTCTCTCTCTCTCTCTCTCTCTCTCTCTCTCTCTCTCTCTCTATCATTGAATGCTATCTCACTTGAATACTACTACCAGTGCTGGCTCATACACCCAGACACAGACATTGGTGCAATAATTTAAAACATATATCATCATCATTATCATCATAAAGTATTACTACTAGTAGTAGTAGTGGTAGTAACATATAGAGTGATATATATATATATATATATTGATATATAATTTATATATATATAATTCATTAATAAGATTATTGCAATCTATCTTTCTCTGGCTAATAAGCTATATATATATATATATATATATATAAGTTATATAATCAATTTGTTGGAGAAAATATTATACTGTATATACCGTATATATATATAGTAAGTCACCAAAAAAAACACATAAAACAATAAATTACTAATAAATTCAATTGCGTTGGTGTTAGAAACCCCAATAGAGAAAAACTAATAATAATAATAATTTTTTATAACTAACATAAAAAGTTAAATTGGTACTAGGATAGTTTAATAAAATCATTTATTTAGTTTATTTTTTCCATTGATGATAATAATAGTAATCATACACATTGTAGAATAAAATAATATATATATATATATATATACCGTTTATATATACCAGCAAACTCTATAATTTATTAACAAAACAAAAAAAAATAGATAAAAACATAGTATTATACTGTATTATACGTATATAAATTATATACAGTATATATATACGATATATATAATTTGATTTTTGATTATATATAAAAGTGTTTTAACAAACAAATATACAGTATATACTGTATATATAATATATATATATTTGGTTTATACCGTAATTGAGACTTTAAGCAAATCAAACATAAAATTATGCTCAATCAGAAATTATTTATTTTTTTATCATATTTACTAATTTAAATAACTAATGCAATAATATATATATATATAAAAGTTTTTAATTTATTTGTAGAGTTAGTTGTCCTCGACATACATTACAAACCGGACTAACTAAACACCAAAAAAAGCCCTAATAATAATAATACTGTATTAATATTAATACTGTGTATAGTAATAATCAAATAATTGTAAATTGACTTAAAATAGTAATAAAATTATTATTATATTTACAACATTGGCATATTAAACACAACGTACTATACTATATATATATATATTAATAAAATAATAATTTTAATATAGCATAAAAATTTTTAAAAACAAAAAAAAATAATAAACTGTGTATAAATTAAAATACAATATTGTATTTCTATAATAATAATTATCACTATACTGTATATTGTATATACATTTTATTATGTAATTTATTATTGATTTATTAATTAATATAATAAAATAATAAATCGTATAAAGTTCTCAACAACTCAACAATGTATATGTAATTTTTTTTCAAAAATAAATTTTGTATAATAATAATAATAATTTTAACTGTTTGTTTATTTGCGGAAAAATTAAAATGAAAATCTCAATGTTTGCTAAGTTATAATAATAATAATAATAATAATAGTAATAAAATTAATTCAATTAATAGGGATGTAGAGTAATACAGTATACATATATATACAGTATATAATAGTAATAATTTGATAAAATATATTAGACAAGTGAATGATTTTGTTGTTATTATTATTATTATTTATTTTTTTATATAAGCATCTACTGAATCGTTTAGTTTATTATTATTATTATTTTTTTATAGTAGAAAATAAAAACCAAGAGAAACGTAAACATAAAACAAATAACAACAACAAAAAATCAACTAAAATAAAATTGCAAATAAAAATCAAAACTACTACTAATTTTTGTTGTTGAAGCCAACAGTGTGTCAATTTAATAGCAATAGTAGTATTTAGCAAAATCAATATATACTATCATAGTATATAAAGTATATATTTATAGATACAGGTATTAACACTTACTATATGTTATTTTTAATATATATATAATATTTATTAGTATATAAAAAAAATTTATTAACAACAAAAATATCATACATAGACAGACACACATAATTTCTCTCTCTCTCTCTCTCTTTCTCTTTAATTAAAAAATTATAAAAAGGGCTAATTTGTCTATATTTGTAGTGCCAATGGTATAATGCTATAGTGTTTTTTCATATATGATATGGTATATAAAATTTTAATACTATAGTTAACTAAATATTATATTATATAAATATATATATATAGTGTGTTGCGGCAGCTGTTTATCAGTTTTTTAAAAAAAGAGTTTAAATACCATTTTCACAGCAAATGGTTGGCACAGGAATCGTGTTTTTCAGACAAAACCTGTTTAATTGCTTTTATTTGACTACTTTTTATTATTAGCCAAAAAATGTGTGTATGTGTGTGTGTGTGTACTGCCATTTTTAAGCATACATTTAAACACTTTTTTTTTAAAATATATAATATTATAATATCATATTAATGTTTCTCTCTCTCTCTCTCTCTCTCTCTTTGTGTTCAAATCACACAAACAGACAAAAAACAAGCATTTTTTTCTCAATTATTTAAATTTCTGCTAATATAATAATGTATTTATTTAGTTTTTTCCACTAAAAAAAATAAATATTATTTTAATTATTTTAATAAACTTGTATCTTTTATTTATTTATTTTATTGAAATATATATATATATATTATTTATAGTATATTTCTAGTATCATAATTGTCTATTACAGACAGTAACCCTTTTATACCGTATATATATATATACACTGTATGCATGTAATAGCAGATTATTTTTGCTAAAAAAAATTGTTACTAAAAAACATTTAGCAGTCAGTCTCTCTCTCTCTCTCTCTTCTCTCTCTCTCTCTCTCTCTCTCTCTCTCTTTGTGTTCAAATCACACACAAAACAAGCATTTTTTCTCAATTATTTAAATTTCTGGTAATATAATAAAATAATGTATTTATTTAGTTTTTCCACTAAAAAAAATAAATATTATTAAAATTATTTTAATAAACTTGTATCTTTTATTTATTTATTTAATTGATATATATATATAGTATATTTCTTGTAGTAGTATCATAATTGTGTATTACAGACAGTAC